GGCGGCGGCAGCCTGGGTCGCAGAGCGTTCCGCACATACGCACGGAACACTCTGGCACTTTCGGGGGGATTTAAACATCCCCCCGAATTTTTTTCCAACTTTTAGCATTTTTGTGCACACATGGGGACTGGCCCACGTGTGCACAAACCTCCCCCTCCCCCCCAAGTGCCCCCGGAGCGCTGATTTAGCGATCCACACTCACGGGGGCAACTTGGCTATTAGATATATAGATATGCACTTACACACCCACAGCACTGGCCAATTAGGCACCCTCCTGCACGCAGGATAAAGCTTAGAAACCGTTAGGTAGCTGAAGCTGAGAACGAACACTCTCCCACGACACCTAGGGAAAACCCAGACACCACAACACCCTCCTGCACATCTGTATAGATAAGCATTTCGGCGCACAGCAGAGAAAGCACAGAAAGGAATGCAGTAGCAATTAACCTGAAAGGAAAGGAATAGCAACTAAGCAGATAAAGACCAAACTCCCCAACCTTCATGGCAGCATAGCTGACACCCTGCCGGAGATTTAATTTCATTTCTAGAGGCTTTGCAAGTTGCACCCTCTCCATCCAGTGAGGCCAGAGCGGAGCCTGTCAGAAGCTGCTGAAACGGAGTCAGGATGTCGCAGGAGGCCTTGGTGTTGTGTGAGAGCCGTGCTTCCTTCGTTCAGTCTGTACATGCTCAGCGGAAAAGCTGGCTAATGTGTCTGTTGCCTGAACAAACCCAGAATTGGGGTTGTCAGGTGCTCCCCCTGGCTACTGCTTGGGGATTGGGGGGGGGCATGGTTGTCAGATCCAGGATGGGAAACGCCTGGAGATTTGGGGATGGAGCCTGGGGAGGACCGGGAACTCAGTGGGGTACAGTGCCTTGGAGTCCACCCTCCAAAGCAGCCATTTTCTCCAGGGGAACTGATCTCTGTAGTCTGGGGGTGAGCTGTTATTCTGCAGTATCCCCAGGTCCCACCTGGAGGTTGGCATCCCTACCCAGAATGAGAATGAGAATAAGAAACAGGGAACTGGCCAGTGTTTGAGAGCCAGTTTGGTGTCGTGGTGAAGTGCGCGGACTCTAATCTGGGTGAACCGGGTTTGATTCCCCACTCTTCCACTCGCAGCTGCTGGATGACCTTGGGCAAGCCGTAGTTCTGATAAGAGCTGTTCTCGGAAAAGAGCAGTTTCTGTCAGAGCTCTCTCAGCCCCACCTCCCTCGCAGGGTGTCTGTTGTGGGGAGGGGGAGGGAAAGGAGTTTGTAAGCCGCTCTGAGACTCTGAGTGAAGGGCGGGGTATAAATCCAATCTCTTCTTCTTCTTAAGATGACCAAATGTTATCTGAACCAGGGCAGACAACGTCGCCTGTTGTCTGCAATGAATCAGTTGGGAGTTCTGCAGAACTTAGACATGCTGAGACTTTTTCCAGGCCCAGTGGGATTCTTCATGATGAGCAAGCCAACTCTGCTCACTTCCAGAGGTCTTTCCCCAGATTGCATGGAAAAGGGGAGCTGTTGTTTGGGGGGAGAAACAGTCCAGGTCCTCTTGGGCATGTCGCACTACTTGTGGGCTTCTCTGTCTCCTGCCAAATGCCACATCTCAAGAAACATTATCCAGATCAGCTTTCGAAATGTCTGAAGCTGCCTGACGCCAAATCAGACCATCAAAGTCCGTATTGCCTACTCAGACTGGCAGCGACTCTCCAGGGCCTCAGGCTGAGGTCTTTCACATCACCCCCTGCCTCGTCCTTTTCAGCTGGAGATGTTGGGGATTGAACCTGGGACCGTCCGCATGCCAAGCAAAGGCTTTTCCACTGAGCCACGGCCTTCTCCTTTTGCACTGTCCAGTCCCCGCAGAGGCTGACGTTCCAAAATGCACTCCCGGCTGATGCGCTCCCCATTTTCTGACTCTCCCCCTCTCTCCTTGCTTCCAGATGGCAGCGCCATATTCCGGGGATGTTTCCGCAGGCCAGAGAACGTTTCCGTGGCTTTGTTGGCAAGCCGGGTGATGAAAAACATGTCTGTGGACCGATGTGTTGACTTCTGCACCGGGAAGGTAAGTGGGATGTCCTGCCCGTGCATCCCACGGACAGGTGCCTGTGAGCATGGCCGTGGAATGCAACCCACAGAATTGTGCACCGACCGTACACCACCAAGGAGCCCAGTGCGCAAGAGCAGCATGTCTACACGGGCATTTAAAGTCTGGTCATTTTGGTCCTGAGTTTAAGGGGATGGCAACATTGAGTTTAGTGGATGCGCATGCCACAAGCTGTGCGTCCTCCCAAGCCTGGTTGTGGGGAATTAATGCCATAAACTTTGTTTATCTTCTTATGCCTGTTCTCCACAGTTTGATGTAGTGGTTAAGAGCGGCAGACTCTAATCTGGAGAAACGGGTTTGATTCACCACTCCTCCACATGTAGCCAGCTGGGTGACTCTCGGAGCTGTTCTCTCACAGGCGGTCCTCGAAAGAGCTCTCTCAGCCCCACCCACCTCACAGGGTGTCTGTTGTGGGGAGGGGAAGGGAAAGGAGAGTATAAGCCGCTCTGAGACTCCTTCGGGCAGTGAAGGGCAGGGTATAAACCCAATCTCTTCTTCTTCTTCTCTTTCTCTAGCTATTCTCTCAAGAGAAGTTCTCGAGTGAGCTCTCTCAGCCCCACCTTCCTCACAGGGTGTCTGTTCTGGGGAGGGGAAGAGAGAGAACTTTGCAAGTCGCTCTGAGACTCCGAGTGAAGGGCGGGATATGAATCCAATCTCTTCTTCTTCTCTTTCTCTCAGCTATTCTCTCAAGAGCAGTTCTCGAGAGAGCTCTCTCAGCCCCACCTACCCACCTCACAAGACTCCACAGCTTAGAGGGAGCATTGCTCACAGGGTGTCTGTTGTGGGGAGGGGAAGGGAAAGGAGATTCTAAGCCACTCTGAGACTCCTTCAGGTAGTGAAGGGTGGGGTACAAAGCCAATCTCTTCTTCTTCTAAACAGAGCTTCTGCCTGAAATGTTGGAAGTGTTACTATTAGAGTTATGCATGACCTCACTCCCTGACACTTTGTCAGTTGGCCGCACCGCCTGGGGCAGCCATTCTGTGGTTGGCTCCACCTCCTGCAGCAGCCATTTTGTGGTTGGCTGTGCTTCCTGTGACAGCCATTTTGTGGTTGGCTGTGCTTCCTGTGGTGGCCATTTTGTAGTTGGCTGTGCTTCCTGTGGCAGCCATTTTGTAGTTGCGCCCACCACCCCGTGTCAGGATTCCGAAAGGTGCCCACAGGCTCAAAAAACTGGGGCCTCCTGCTTTCGAGGGAGGACTGAAGGATTCTTTCGGTAGTGACCAGAACACCTTCATCACTGCCGAAGAGAGCTTGGCCTCTGAGGAGGCCCATCCGCACTGTTGGTCTTCCGCTGCGGTGGGGCGCTTTGGGCTGGTGGCATCTTCTAATTAGCCAGTTAATTGGACACAGCAAGTGACTTGGGAATGGCTCTGGGTGTCCTTGGCCCCGCAGTTGTCACCCGCTCCCTCGGAAGCCCGGCTCTCCGAGGTGGTAAATACAAACTCATTGCGGCGTGCCCCTTGATTAACCCGGCCTCGCCGCATCCCTGGGTATTAAATTGCCTGTCAGGTCTCGCGGCGGCCCTCATAACTCTGGCACTTGAAGACTCGAACGAGGGCACGGATGAAGGGCCGCGGGGGCTTTTAGCGGCCTTCCTTCAGGTGAGAAACGCACACATTATCTAAGCACCATTGGGCCACGCTTTTCAGAGCTGTATCATGAGCCTGGTTGTAGAACACCTCATGCTAGTAAATAACTTGCAGTTGACACTGGTAAGGAGACCAGAAGGGAGCAAGCCAGGCAGAGGTGGGGAGATCACAGAGCCGTCCACAGCTTGTTTCCCTACCCGGCTGGCATCTCGTGTACCTGAAAGAGTGGTTTGACGTGGCCCATCAGCCGGGGAGGAAATCAGGCTTAGGACAGACCTTCATTGCTCAGTGAAAAGTTGTCTGCTTCCAAAGCGTCCTTCCTGGATCAGTCATCCTGTCAAGCCCTTCTCCGTGCCACCAGAGGCAACGAGGGGCGGGGCCTTTTTGGTGGCTGCCCCCCAGTTCTGGATCGACCTCCTCCTCTCCCTGCACCTTTTGCCTTCGGTGGACAGGTAAGGATGCATCTGTTCCACCAAATGGATTGTCCCTTCTATGCTGACGCTGAGCTTGTGCTGAGCTCAACAGGCCGGCGGCCGGCTCTGGGTTGGGAAATCCCTGGAGATTTGGGGGTGGAGCCTAGGGAGGGTGGGTTTGGGGGAGGGGAGAGACATCCGTGGGGTAGAACGCCGTGGCATCCACCCTCCAAAGGCAGCCACCTTCACCAGGGGAACTGATCTCTGTCAGCTGCGGAGTCCTGTGGTCCCTCCCTTAACAATCTGCAGTCTTCGTTCCAGCATAAGCTGCTGTGAGTCAGAGCTCTCAGCTGAGTTCAGCTGAGCTGCAGCGAGTTCCCTCTTGCCAGTGGACAGCTGTACTCATAGAATCATAGAATGTTTGAGTTGGAAGGGACCTTGCAGGTCATCTAGTCCAACCTCCTGCACCCTGCAGGAGCGTAGCCGAAAGATAGCCCTATAACATACGCGAAAGATGGTCGTCCAGCCTCCGCTTGAACACATCCAGCGAAGGAGCATCCACCCCCTCCCGAGGCAGACTGTTCCACTGCTCAGCCACCCTTACAGTTAGGGAGTTCCTCCTGATATTCAGCCGGTAACGACTCCCTTGTAATTCCCACCCGATCTAGTCTTGCAATCCGGAGCAAGGGAGAATAGATCTGCTCCATCTTCTACATGACAGCCCTTCAAATACTTGAAGACCGCAATCACGTCCCCTCTAAGCCTTCTCTTTCCCAGGCTAAACAGACCCAACTCTCCCAGCCTTTCCTCATAAGACTTGGATTCCAACCCTCTCTGTGTGTCCTTGGCCCCGCAGTTGTCACCTGCTCCCCGCAGTTGTCACCCACTCTCCGAGGTGGTACCGCTTGGGACTTTGCTGTCGTCACTCTGGGTTAACCATTCCTGGAGCATTTGGCTTCTGCTTCTTTACGCAGGGCTTGGGATGAGACTGGGGCTTTATGTCCTCCGTAGATCAGCGGTGCCTTGTACTCTGTTAGCAGTGGGCGCAGGCCGTGGATAAAGAATGTCAATACAATAAGGAACAAACCGACCCTTCTGGGGCGGGGCGGCAGTGGGGCGGCTGCCACCCAGGCCGGTAGCTACAGTGGGGCATTTTGGGGCCTTTCCCCCTTAATTAAAAGCCCCGCCCCACAAATAGTCTTGAAAGGGGAGGGCTAGAAACAAACTTGGAGCCTTCCCCTCTAAAGACAGACATTCAGATTAATTTAATTCACTGTGTTTTAACTGCCCCTTTAAACATTGAAATGCCCCCCCGACCAAAAGAATCCTGGCTGCGGGCCTGCTGCCACCACACAGAGACAGAAGGCAGCCTGAGGGTGCTCCCTGACAGTGTGTGTGGGGGTGGCTGCCAAGGCTCTTCCGTGGCCCTCTGCCGCTTCCCCCGTGATGTCGTGATGCCGATCCTGCCCGAGAAGAGCATTTGGTGCCTGCTCCTCCTCGTCACTGTTTCCTTTGTCCATTTCGTAACCTCCCCTTTTTTTTCGAGCGGCTCAGAGTGGCCCACATGGAGAGTATCCCTTGCAGTCATTGCAGCAACGACCCTGTGAGGTAGGCGTGGCTGAGAGGATGCGACCTGGCCCAAGGTCACCCAGCGAGCAGGATGGGGGCTTGAACCCAGGTCTCCCAGCTTCGGGAACAGCGGCCTTTCTCCTTCGCCGCCTTTGCTATGGAATGTCTGCCATGAAGGTCTTTTTTGTTGGTCTCTCCACACCCACCCCCCGCCCCAGGAGTACCCTCTTGCAGCGCTGGCCGGATCCTGGTGCCACTGTGGCTTCCCCACCACCCTCTTCAATTTGCACGAGCGTGAAGATGAGCAGCTGTGCGCACAGAAATGCAGTGGCGAGGAATTTGAGAGCTGCGGCAACTCCAAGTATTTCATCATTTACCAGACTCAAGTGCAAGGTAAGAACATAAGAGAAGCCAGTGATGGATCAGGCCAATGGCCCATCCAGTCCAACACTCTGCGTCACACAGTGGCCAAAAATACCAGGTGCCCTCAGGAGGTCCAGCAGTGGGGCCGGGACACTAGAAGCCCTCCCGGTGTTGGCCCCCCCCGCCAAGCACCAAGAATACAGAGCACCCCTTGCCCCAGACTGAGAGTTCCTATCTATCCCTTGTGGCTATGAGCCACCGATGGATCTCTGCTCCACATGTATATCTGATTCCCTCTTGAAGCCGTCCATGCTTGTAGCTGCCACCACCTCCTGTGGCAGTGAGTCTTTTGGGCTTGCTCCTGGGGCTGGGGCAGTGGCTCCGTGGCAGAGCCACAGGCCTTGCATTCTGAGGGTCCCGAGGTCAGGCCCCAGCCTCTCCAGGTAAAAGGTCTCAGGGAGCAGGAGCGGAGGAAGAAGCTTCCTGTGTCTCAGACCAGGTGAGCAGGGGGACGCTGCACATAAGTGACCCACAGGTGTGAGCTCAAGAGCTGTCAGCGAGGGCCTGTTGCACAGTAGTCAAGCACTGGCTTTGCATGCAAAATGTCCCAGGTTCAGTCCTCAGTAGACCCTCCAGAGAAAGGGTCTCAGGCAATGCGCCCTCTAAGCTGTGGAGTCTTGTGAGCAAGAATCCTACTTGGTGAGCGACTGGCATTAAAGTTGGGAGCGAGCGATTTGGCCGCTGCATCAACTAGTTGGCTCTGGAGCCATCCCTTCCCGAGCGAAGGCGAAAATGTGTGAGCCGGAGGCTAAAAAACTGTGAACTCGCTCACGCTAACTCAGCTTAGAGGGGACACTGGTCTCAGGTCCTCTCCGAGGTTGGGAAACTCCCCTCTCTCTGTCGTGGAGCAACAGGCGGCCAAACCAGATGAAGGTCCAGCTCTGTCTATTGCATCTTCCCGTGTCTGCCCTTTTCCATGGAGGGTTCCTCATTTCTGGCAGACTGGTGATCTTCGGCCCCCTCTCCGAACATCCATTCAAGAAGGAAACCCCTGCTATTTCTTTTAATTACCAAAGAAATAAATTTCGCTTTTCAATGAAACAGTAATTAGTTTCAGCTCAAATCAGACATGGGAAACGACAATTTGCCAGTTGTGGGCAGCAGATGGCTGCTTTCTCTTTTTTCTTTTTCTCTTTTCTTTCTCTTAACGGTGTCCCCTCTTTTAAGGGCCCATCCATGTGTTCCGTTTGTTCTTTGGATGTGTAAAAAGGGTCTTGGGTGTATCCTAATGGAGACGATGAGATGAAACATGTGTTTGGTGTGGTGGTTCAGTGCGTGGACTCTAATCTGGGAGAACTGGGTTTGATTCCCCACTCTTCCACTTGCAGCTGCTGGATGACCTTGGGCAAGCCATAGTTCTGACAAGAGCTGTCCTTGAAAAAGAGCAGTTTCTGTCAGAGCTCTCTCAGCCCCACCCACCTCACAGGGTGTCTGTTGTGGGGAGGGGAAGGGGAAGGAGTTTGTAATCCGTTCTGAGACTCTTTCGGGTAGTGAAGGGCGGGGTAGAAATCCAATCTCCTCCTCCTCCTCCTCCTCTTCCTCCTCCTCCTCTTCTTCTTCTTCTTCTTCTTCTTCTTCTTCTTCCAGAGACACGGAGATAAGAGCCAGGACCAGTGTTCCCTCTAAGCTGAGTTAGTGTGAGCTAGTTCACAGTTTTTTTAGCCTCCAGCTCACACATTTTTGTCTTAGCTCAGGAAGGATGGTTCCTTCCAAATCGCTCGCTCACAACTTTAATGCCAGTAACTCACAAAGTAGAAATGTTGCTCACAAGACTCCCCATCTTAGAGGGAGCATTGGCCAGGACTGGTCGCTGCTCCCCATCTAGAGGCCGTTAAAAGGGGATTAGACAAAAGTGTGTAGGGCACGTCCATCACTGGCATTTAGCCAGGGTGGCAAAGTGGAACCTCCATGTTCAGAGGCAGTGTACCTCTCAATGCCAGTTGCGGGGCAGGGCAAAAAGGGGTGGCTTCGGCCTCTGCAGACCTGCTTGGAGCCTTGCAGGACATCTGATTGGCTGCCATGGGAAGCAGGGTGGGACCTTTGTTCCGACATGTGCCGGGCTTTTCTTCTGTTCTTACAGCCCTCTGTCATCTGTTTGCAGACAACCGGTGCATGGACAGGAGGTTTTTAACTGCTCGAGCGAAACAATTAATCGCCCTCGCCAGCTTTCCCGGAGCAGGCAACACTTGGGCGCGGCACCTCATTGAGCTCGCGACGGGCTTCTACACCGGCAGTTATTATTTCGATGGCTCCCTGTATAACAAAGGTGAGGGGTTTGCACCTTCCCTTGACTTGGTTTTCACACCTCTTTCACCTTTCTCGCATCAATTCTTCCCATTAAGAGCCAGTTTGGTGTAGTGGTTAAGTGCGGGGACTCTAATCTGGGAGAAGCGGGTTTGATTCCCCACTCCTCTTCCACTTGCACCTGCTGGTGTGACCTTGGGTCAGTCACAAGCTCTGGCACAGCTGCTCCTGAAAGAGCCGTTTGTGTCAGAGTTCTCTCAGCCCCCCCCACCCCACAGGGTGTCTGTTGTGGGGAGGGGAAGGGAAAGGAGTTTGTAAGCCGCTCTGAGACTCCCTTGGGTAGTGAAGGGCCATGGGGTATGAATCCAATCTCTTCTCTTCTTCTTAAAATCAAAATATGTTTGTCTTACGGATGATGCCAAAATGATGACAAGGATCCATCAGCAGCGGCAATAGACATAAGTGGTCCTGACGAGGATGACGTACAGAATCAGAGAGGATGGGGAAAGACTGACTCCGCTCAGGTTTTCTGGACAGGAAGAGGAAGTGTCTGTGGGAGGGAGGGAGGAAGGTGGCTGACCAATCACACTGGGGAAAGGGGGGGAGGGAGAAGCACGTCTTCCTTCCCCCATTGGCTTTCTTTTGCACTTGTTTTATATTTTGTCAACAGTCTTCTTTCTCTGTTTTTCACCGATGGCTTTGTCGATTTGATCATATGGTGTCCACATCTGTACGCTTATTATGCACCAGCTATAGCTGGGGTGAAAAGTTGAATATATTGGAGCTGCGGTGGCTCAAGTGGTTAAGACGCTGAACTGCAGGCTGTGGAAGGTCAGTAGTTCAGCAGTTCGAGACCCGGGTTGCCACATGACGGAGTGAGCTCCCATCTCTAGTTCCAGCTCCTGCCAACCTAGCAGTTCGAAAGCAAGAAATTGCAAGTAGATAATTAGGTACCACTTCGGTGGGAAGGTAACAGCGCTCCGTGTGCCTTGGTGTTTAGTCATGCCGGCCACATGACCACGGAAATGTCTTCGGACAGCGCTGGCTCTTCGGCTTTGAAACGGAGATGAGCACCGCAACCCTAGAGTCGGTTTCGACTGGCTTTTGAGCAAGGGAACCTTTACCTTTATAGCACGTATATGTGTAACTTGCCATCAAATCGCAGCTGACTTGTGGCAAACCCATAGTATTCTCAAGGCAAGAGGTGAACACAGGTGATTTAGAATAATAGAATCATAGAATGTTAGAGTTGGAAGGGACCTTGCAGGTCATCTAGTCCAGCCCCCTGCACTCTGCAGGAGCACAGCCGAAAGATGGCCCTTCGACATACCCGAAAGATGGTCATCCAGCCTCCGCTTGAAAATGTCCAGCAAAGGAGCATCCACCACCTCCCGAGGCAGTCTGTTCCACTGCTCAACCACTCTTACAGTTAGGAAGTCTCTCCTGATATTTAGCCAGTAACGACTCCCTTGACATTTCCACCCATTAGATCTAGTCTTGCAATCGGGAGCAAGAGAGAATAGATCTGCTCCATCTTCTAAATGACAGCCCTTCAGATACTTGAAGACCGCAAATCATGTCCCCTCTAAGCCTTCTCTTTTCCAGGCGAAACATTCCCAACTCTTTCAGCCTTTTCTCGTAAGACTTGGATTCCAACCCTCTCACCATCCTTGTTGCCCCCTTCTGGACACGCTCGAGCTTGTCAACATCCTTCCTCAAATGTGGTGCCCAGAACTGGACACAGGACTCCAGGTGAGGCCTGACCACAGCAGAACAGAGCGGAACTACCACCTCCTGTGATCTGGAGACAATGCTTCTGTTAATGCATCCTAAGATTCATATCTTAAAAATTCAAAAAATAATATAAAAATATTTATATCTTTAAAATCTATACAATACAGCAAGGGCAGAAATACATCAATTTCTTCCAGCTTCTCTTTTTGGGGGCCACACACCCTTGGCCTTCCACACTAGCAGCTGAGCTTATTTCTGCCTCTCAGACTTTGTTTAAGGCTCCCACTATGGCAGCAAGTGTCGCTTTCGGCTCCTGCTGGCCGGAAGATGACAACGCTTTCTACCCCCGGGTAGTAGCGTGGGGCCTTCCTCCTGCTGCTGTATCATTCGGTTAAGTCTCAGCACATTCTGTCTCTCCCCAGGAGATTGTCGGTGGCTGATTGATGTGGTGGGGCTTCCTTTGGTACAGTCGGGCTTGGTTTGAGGATTCTGTGGGTTCCCGCTAGGAGGACACCTCTCGCCTTTGTCTCCCAGGGATATTTTAAAACGCTAATGATGTAGGATTTCCAAGGGAGCAGCGTCAGTTTCCAGGCAACCGATCACAATTCTGCAAACAAGGGGGAGTTTTCGAGGTTCGCTTTCAGGGCTTGAGAGAGACCACGAGGTGGGCAAAGGCGGCAAAGAGAGGTGCCAAGATCATTGGGCAAATGTTGCCCCTTGTTCCCTGAACTCTGGGCCATCTGAAGGACTGAAGAAACCAAGGGAGTCTTAGCCATGAGCTCAGTGGAACACAACCCAGTAGGTGGCAATTAGGGATGGGCACAAACTGGGAAAATGTGGTTCAGTTTGTGACACGCCCGGTTCATGGTTATGAACTTTTAGCCACTTCAACGAACCAGTTTGGTTCATGAGGTTGGAGAATGCTCCCCTGGTGTGCTAGAGACACCAAACTTGGATTGGCTTTATCCCCCGCCTTTCACTACTCAAGGGAGTCTCAGAGCGGCTGACAAACTCCTTTCCCTTCCCCTCCCCACAACAGACACCCTGTGAGGTAGGCGGGGCTGAGAGAGCTCTGACAGAAACGGCTCTTTTTCAAGGACAGCTCTTATCAGAGCTACGGCTTGCCCAAGGTCATCCATCAGGTGTGAGTGGAGGAGTGGGGAATCAAACCCGGCTCTCCCAGATTAGAGTCCGCGCACTTAACCACTACACCAAACTGGAAAGGGCCACAGGAACTAAGCACTGAGGCAACCCTTCCTGCGCTTGTACTATCAGATTTTACGAGCTTGCCAGTTCAGCTATTGAACCCACCCCATCTTTATTTTCACACCGCTCTTTCCTCGTGCCCACCCACCCCATAAGGTGTACATATTTTCCAACATGATTTGTGACCGGAAGAGATCAAGCCAGCCTGGGCCATCCATGCAGTCAGGGTATACGTGGCATACGTTGGATGCATAGGTAGCAGGTCCATTGCGTAACAAATGTCTACGAGAACCAAATGGATCCTCGGTGTCAGCAGTGAAAACCATTCACAACGACATCACCCAGGGGAATAACATTGAACAGGATACTTCTGGGAGGGGCCAAAGGTTGTATGTCTTCATTCCATGAGTGATTATCTGGTGGGGTCTGCTGCCAGTGGAAATAATGATGGCTGCTAGCACAAATGGCTTTAAAAGAGGATTAGACAATTTAATGGGGGGGGGAGCCACCATCTGTGGCTATTAGCAGCGATGACTAAGTGGAAGCCCCCTGTTCTGAATACCATTGCTGGGGAGCAACAACATGGGCTGGGCGTTGGCCTCTGTGCCCTCTCCTTGTAGACTTGTAGGGACAACTGAATCATAGAATCACAGGATCATAGAATGTTAGAGTTGGAGGGGACCTTGCAGGTCATCTAGTCCAACCCCCTGCACTCTGCAGGAGCATAGTCGAAAGATAGCCCTACAGCATTAGCCAAAAGATGGTCGTCCAGCCTCTGCTTGAAAACGTCCAGCGAAGGAGCATCCACCATCTCCTGAGGCAGACTGTTCCACTGCTCAACCACTCTTACGGTTAGGAAGTCTCTCCCGATATTTAGCTGGTAACGACTCCCTTGTCATTTCCACCCATTAGACCTAGTCTTGCAATCCAGAGCAAGAGAGAATAGATCTGCTCCATCTTCTACATGACAGCCCTTCAAATACTTGAAGACTGCAATCATGTCCCCTCTAAGCCTTCTCTTTCCCAGGCGAAACATACCCAACTCTTTCAATCTTTCCTCGTTAGACTTGGATTCCAACCCTCTCACCATCCTGGTTGCCCTCTTCTGGACATGCTCGAGCTTGTCAACATCCTTCCTAAAATGTGGTGCCCAAAACTGGACATAGGACTCCAGGTGGGGCCTGACCATAGCCTAACTGGCTGGCCCCTGTATGAGACAGGATGCTGGACTACATGGACCACTGGTCTGATCCACAAGGGGCGTTCCTTTGTTCTTATGTCCATCCCTAATTTGAATCTGCTCCACATGTTGAGGGATAAATTGCTGGCTTGGAATGAATTCCAGCTTTTGGAGCTAAATGAGAAAACAGTTTATTACATCTAAACCCCTTTCCCCTTAGCAGACAGAATGTTACTGGATGTTCCGTGACATCCGAACAGTTCGACCAATCGCTGGGGAGACTTGTCGGTGGGAGTCGGCAGGTGACAATGTTGGTCTTGGCTCCGGTCGGTGAGATCGATGAGTGAGGATTTTTTAAAAGAATTATCTTGCTTGGCCATAATCCAGTAACAAAGCTGGCAATTGTATCCCAATCCTCCTCACTGCCCAATCTCCAAGCAGGGCAGGGCAATAAATCTGCTGCCACCACCACCCCGCCTGCTTGGCCAAGAGGCCAGTCTCTCCATAACAAATGAGATGTTTTCAGCTCAAATATTGTAGCTCCAGGAGCTTGCAGTGGTCTCTGCAGAATAATACGGCCAGCCTGCTCGCTGGCTGGGTCGTCTGGCTTCTGTCATAAGAACATAAGAACATAAGAGACGCCAATGTTGGATCAGGCCAAAGGCCCATCCAGTCCAACACTCTGTGTCCCACAGTGGCCAGAAATACCAGTGCCATCAGGAGGTCCAGCAGTGGGGCCAGGACATTAGAAGCCCTCCCACTGTTGACCCCCCCCCCAAGCACCAAGAAGACAGAGCATCACTTGCCCCAGAGCCCCTAGCTATACCTTGTGGCTAATAGCCACTGTCTCCTCGGCCTGATGGATTCGGCGGTTATCTATCTTTTTCTTTGCGAGTGACACGACAAAATTATTTACCTAGTTAATATTTTACTGGCAACGAGCTCGTTCTTTACTTCAACCCTCACGGCTCCTCCAGGGAAGACAATTCAGGAAAGCTGGCAGACCAAACTAGGTGTGATGCGAAAGAGTTGCAGTTTGGGCTGTAACAGGAATGGTGCTTGCAAGGGAAGGAGGAGGGATGGGTAACCCAACAATGAATCCAGCGTGCTGTGGAACACATTGTCACAAGATAATGCGTGGCCAGGAGTTATAATTGCTTCTTAGTAAAGGTCAAGGTTTCCCTTGCTCGAAAGCCAGTCAAATCCGATTCTAGGGGTGAGGTGCTCCTCTCCGTTGCCAAGCCGAAGAGCCAGCACTGTCCAAAGACGTTTCCGTGGTCATGTGGCTGACATGACTAGATGCCAAGGCGCACGGAATGCTGTTACCTTCCCACTGAAGCGGTACCTATTTATCTATTTGCAATTTCTTGCTTTCAAACTGCTAGGCTGGCAGGAGCTGGGACCAGAGACGGGAGCTCACTCCGTCATGCGGCACTTGACCCTTGGGTCTTGAACTGCTGAACTACTGACCTTCTGGTCTGCAGTTCAGCATCTTAACCACTGAGCCACTTTTTCTTAGTACTATGCAGTAATAAACATACATTGTCGATGTATTCATTCATGAGCCCAACAGTAAATTTCATTTGCCATTAAAAGAAAATCAGCCTGTGGAACCCATTGTCACATGAAAACTGTGATGGGCCATCATTCGTTATTCCTGCAAGATGACTGTGCAAAGGATTTTAGATAGCTTTGTAGGTTAGAAGTTCCATAGGGATTATTGACAACAATTTAATAAGCGGATCTCTTCTTGATTCTGTTGAGCAAAAGAAAAATGGCACCAATGGACAGTTGGGTGTGTTGGTTCCCAGTTTTTTCTTTTTTAACTTTCAGAGTCTGCCTCTCTCTTCTGTCCCTGTTTAGACAACCATTGCACCCTGATCAAATATGTTAAACAAAATAGGCCTTTAACCTTAGGAACAAGAGAGTCAGGAGGCAGCTAATTAGATCCAGCTACAGGATGACATCACTGAGGGCAAACAAAACCTGTGCCTATTCAGAATGCTTTGCCCTCACTCTGGATTGGCTTCATATGCCATCAGTGACATCATGACATGGCTAACCCTCATTGGCTATGTGACAGTTCTGGAGGAAAGAGTTATTTTTTCCTGACTATATCTGAAGTGAGCAGTGACTCACAAAAGCTCATGTTGAAATAAATGTTGTCCGTCTTTAAGGTGCCCCTGGAGTTTGGTTTTATTTTGGTGAAGAGGAGGCAGGCGACGGCTTCCAAAGAAACAGAGACATAGTCTGCAGGACCTAGGAGAGCTCCTAGGAAGCGCAGGCGTTGCACTAAAAGTTTTCGGCTTACTGGAGCCTTTAGGAAAGGCCTGATATCTATCTAAGCTTAGTCAGTGGTGACCTGAAAAAAAGCAAAGTAGTGCTCTGCCTTGGTCTCTCACTGGCCCTTTCCGCACTCTCCTTTTAATCCATGTTCACCACGGTGTCCTCCTAGCAATTCTACACTAAAATCAAATACAGCCAGTGCTCCCTCTAAGCTGTGGAGTCTTGTGAGCAAAAATTCTGCTTTGTGAGCTCCTGGCGTTAAAGTTGTGAGCGAGCGATTTGGCTGCTGCATCAATTTGCTTGCTCTGGAGCCCTCCTTCCTGAGCTAAGACAAAAACGTGTGAGCCAGAGGCTAAATAACTGTGAGCTAGCTCACACTAACCCAGCTTAGAGGGAAAACTGAATACAACTTTCATTTTATTCTGGGGTCCCCCCCCCCCCATTCTGCACTATGTTACCTTCCTTTAGTGGTCGGCCCGGTTTCAGTCTGCTGTTGCCCTGAGTTTTTTTGGATGCTGTTTTGCCATGGACTTAAATGGCCTTAACTTGAACACTGAGAAAATCTAGAGTGGCAGGTGAATGCAGAAAGGACCACAGTCCAGCTTCCCTGAATACCTGCTAGGAAAGTCTCTGGTAGGCTGACAAGGAATAAGGTGCAAGGTCCAAGCCGCAGAGTTTCGTGGGTAAAAATCGCCACCAACCCGGTGATCCTGGTGACTGAACATGAAGCAGAGAGTACCAAAACTTGTGATGAACCCCATAGAGGGATGCCAGGGAATGCTGTGCTGAAGCGATTGGGGTGGGGGAAAGGTTATCTGCAGCTTCAGCTGAGAACACGCCTGCCTATTCGGATGGCCAGATTCAAAATGGCGGGAGATCAGGTGCCTCCCTTTTGCTCTGAGGCCTTGGAAAGGCGGAGAGCTCCCCGCCGGAGAGTCCCTCAGGATGAGTTTCCGCTTCCCTTAAGCCGGTGGATATTTTCCCCTAATGAAGAAGCAGCAGCCTGCAAACCCCAGTGGAGTGAAACCAATTTGCAGAGTAAAGGCAGAGACCCGTGATGCGAATGGGCCCCGTGGGCCCTCGGTTCAGGAAGGCAGTTGGCCTCCTGTTCAATGGCCTTGGGTGTCATCCCTCACTTCAAGGAAACCGGACGTCCCTGTTTCTTCCCACCCTTCCCTGAATTACTGGGCAAGCTGAAGTTCTACAGCAAGGAAGAGGGAATGGAAACAAATGCTCTTGACCTTCCTTGCATGGAGACCGTGAAGACAGCTGGGGGGTGTGTGGAATGGGAGAGGGAGAGAAGTGTTTTCTTAGCAGAGCCACTGGGAGCTCCAGGGGATGACGGAGGCGCCCCGGATGCAGAGATCTGAGGGCCTTTAAAAACCTTCCTAGGGCAAGCAGATGGGGCTGGCAGGGAGAGGGGCTGGAGTACTGGAAGTGGAGAGAAAGGATGGAGGAGATTTAGGGGGCAGCTGAGGGTGGCGGAGGCCAAGCAGCGGAGAGATCCTGGGGGCAGAGAGAAAAGCTTCTTCTCGTGAAAGGGCTCTTGATGGGATTTCCTTCATTCCCACACCGCCGTCTATTGTAGCTACGAAAAAAACCCTGCACAGCTGCTGGAAGAGGCGTTCGAAGGGCCAATCGTGCAGATTCTTCTCTAGAAAGCTGGTTTCAGCAAGCATCGTGAGAGCCAGTTTGGTGTAGTGGTTAGGAGCATGAACTCTAATCTGGGAGAGCCGGGTTTGATTCCCCGCTCCTCCTCCACATGCAGCTGCTGGTGTGACCTTGGGTCAGTCACAAGTTCTCTCCGAGCTGTTCTCTCAAGGGCAGTCCTCAAAAGAGCTCTCTCATTCCCACCGACCTCCCAGGGTGCCTGTTGTGGGGAGGGGGAAGGAAAAGGAGATTGTCAGCTGCTCTGAGACTCCTTCGGGTAGTGAAGGGTGGGGTGTAAATCCAATCTCCTCCTCCTCCTCCTCCTTCGCTGCAGAGTTATCAGGCAGAAGGTCTTTGGAACAGGGCTAGGACTTCATTTTCATGGGTGCTGCTATTATGTAATTATGTTGGTCTGCCTGTCTCTGTTCTGCTGGAGAACAAGGCACAGAATTTAGTTTCCCCAATGTCCTTTCCATCCGTTTTTTTTTTTTTTAAAGAGCATATTTCAGATCCTTATGGCTGCAAAGATATTTTTGAAAGTGTGTGGGCAATTCCTGTGGAACTCTCAGAAGACGGGGAAGTGGGCAAGGAGGGTTGTTGTTGACAGGGAGCGAAGCAGACGGTTTCCTGCTCTGAAACCAAAAAGAATTATGACAAAGTTTATTGAATAAAGAAGGCACTGTGGGGACGGGCCCAAACTGCATATAATGTATGCCGGTCACAGAATTCCACTCCCTTTGGTGCAGAATTTTAATAATTCCAGTGAATACTGTGCCTCTTCTTGCTCACAGAACCATCAATGTACAGCACTGGCCTTACAGCGTTACGGGCAGATAATTTTCTGCCCCGAGGAATTTACTCTTTCGGAGCCACCGGTTTTCATCCAAACATATCTTGCAGTCTTGTTCTTCCCATTGTATTTTCCTTCTGTTCTGTCCCCTGTCTTCACCCTTTGTTGCCCCACCCCCACCAGCTGGTATTTATTTCTCCTGCTTCTACGTCATGTTTTTCTCTTCTTTTCTGCTAAAAACAAAGGGTTCAAAGGCGAACGGGACCACTGGCGGAGCGGGAGGACGATCTGCATCAAGACCCACGAGAGCGGGCAGAAGGAGATCGAGGCGTTCGACTCGGCCATCTTGCTCATCCGGAACCCCTACAAAGCGCTCATGGCTGAATTCAATCGGAAATACGGCGGCCACATCGGTTTCGCGTCTCACGCCCACTGGAAAGGGAAAGGCACGTAGGCCCGCATCCTGGCTCTGGTGGCAGCAGGCCCCTTGGTCTGATACTTCCCTTGATGGCCACATGGCACGAGAGGCCTCTGTTGCCCACTGATTCCAACTTCATGCTCTGAATCAGGGGTCATTTCGTAGAAAAAGAGGCGCAGGAGCTCATTAGCATAACTCATTAGCATAACATTTGTATATGTCACACCCCCTGACATCACCGGAAGTGTGTCAGAAGGCTCCACTGGACTGTTTTGGATTGCTAGCTATGGGGGGGGGGTGGACGCGCAGATCGGCCCTCACAGAAGAGGGAGAGCTTGTACCTGAATAAACCTTGGCCTTAAAGGTGCCACTGGGCTGTTTTGGATTGCTAGCAATGGGGGGGGGGTGGACACGCAGATCGGCCCTCACAGAAGAGGGAGAGCTTGTACCTGAATAAAACTTGGTCTGAAAGGTGCCACTGGACTGTTTTGGATTGCTAGCTATGGGGGGGTGGACGTGCAGATCGGCCCTCACAGAAGAGGGAGAGCTTGTACCTGAATAAACCTTGGCCTTAAAGGTGCCACTGGGCTGTTTTGGGCCAGGGGGAGCTCTGCAACTTACCTGGCTGTTTCTTGCTCCTCGTGGCCCAACTGAGGGCTGCTGGGAGCAGGGGGCGGGGCTTGTTGCGTGTGCCCTCCCCCTGGGCTCTTTACTGCCGGAGCTGCGCTCCTGTGCGCTCCTGCAGGAAATGACCCCTGCTCTTAATTAAGAGCATCTCCTTTTCAGGACAGAGGGCTCATTCGGCACCTGAATCTTGTTATGGGTAAATGGGCTTATGTCGCAAGGGTGCATGTCCAAAGTGCCCTTTGCTGGAATGAAACGGAGCCTCACAGCATTCTTAAACTGACTGTCTCTTTTGCAAGTTGGCCTTTGCTTTACATGCAGAAGATTGCAGTCTGAGTCCCTGGTAGCTGCAGTTAAAGGTTCTCATGTGCTGGAGACCTGGGAAAGAGCGTTCTCTGCCTGAGATCCAGGACAGCAGCTGCCAGGCAAAAGAGGCATAGCTGAGCTAGATGGAGCGATGGTCTGGCTCTGGCTCTGTCTCCCTTCCCCAGATCCAGGGCTATTTTGGGGCAGGAACGCCCAGGAACGGAGTTCCGGCTGGCTTCAGAGTTGGCCACACCCACTGCAGCCAAAACCTCTGCGTGTGTTGCTACAGAGCGAAGGCCTGCAGAGTGACCCCCCCCCCCGCGACTCCAAGGCGGGCGGGCCAGGGGGGCCCCCGGGAGGGGCAGGAA